GAGAGACAAAATTAGTTCTAGACTAAATTTTGTTCTGTGCCTAGTTAGTACAACTTAGAGCAAGACCTAAAAGAACCAAATTACTCAACGACAGTAACTCAACGACATCCCAGAACAAAGCTTAAGAATTTGTATAGAAATACATTCAAAACCAGTACTGGGGGCTGGGGATTTAGCTCAGCGGCATAAGCGCCTGCCTTGCAAGTAGGCAGTCGTGAGTTCGATCCCCGGTACCAATAAAAAACGGAAAAGAAAAAAAAAAAAAATACTGAATAAGGTAAAATCTGTAATGTCTAACATTCAACCAAAAAGTATGAGACACATAAAGGGGAAAAAATTAACAAAAACTAATAAATGAATGACACACATGACAAAACTAGTAAAAGGTCGTGAGTTCAACCCCCAGTACCAAAAAAAAGGGGAGGAGGGGGATTAAGGCATATGTGGGTTAATTCTGTACATTCAACCAGAAGATGAGAATATTCTGCCCTTCACTTTCACCTCGGTTGTCCGAGATCCCAGGACTTCCTGAAAGTTTAAAAAGTATTTAGTTTCCACATTTTATTTTTTCAAACAACTGTCTTACCAATGCCAAGATTCTTCAAGGAAACAAAAAGTACTGAAACCTAAAAACCTTTGTGAAGTGGTCAAAAATGCAGAGAGGAACTGGTGCTGGCAACATTAACACCAGATCAGCTACCAGGACTTCAGATTACAGCGACCCACTCCTCTACTGTCACAAACTCCGTTGTGAACCTCAAAGCTATTTGTTCAAAGCTCTAATCAAAGCTTGGGTCCCTTCATCCAAGTGCGCTTTGAATTAACTAGAGGCTGACCAAAATACTGAGGAGGAAGGAAATTTAACAGGTGTTTACAATAAAGGATTTTCTACGTTTTTGAAATTTCACTTGCTGTGAGGTCATGATGAAAATACAAGCATTCAACACCCTTCAGATCTCTTTGACATCTATCACCAGAGTCTGTCTAGAAAAGATCTGCTCCAAGGTTTAAATAAGGTCTTCTTGAGTCACAACCAAAGTTTGGTTACCCAATTAAACTGCCTATTTCGGGCCAACTTACAATGAAGAGAAAGACAACATTTAATTGGAAAGCAAATCACCTAACAGTAAGTGGTAGTCACATTTCCCAATTAAAAATCTGACAAGTACCACAAAAATAAAATAACATCTCCAAAATGTCACCCTGCTTATTTCCCATATAGAGAGGCTGCTTTCCCCCACTTCACACCAAACAAAAGGTTGGGGAGGGGGATCAACAGAAAAAGAAAGGAAGAGGCTGGGCACGTGTGTGTGTGTGTGTGTGTGTGTGTGTGTGTGTGTGTACATGCATGTGTTTAAAACTGTCCAAATTGTACACCAGCAGGTAATCATGATGGTCCACCCAATTAGTTCTGTTTTAAAGAGCCAATGATAAGATTTAAACCCAAAGCCACAGTTAGTAGCAGCCTCCAACAGACTAAATCCCAAGCACCATCTGTCTCCTCATTAAAGCCCCTGCTCACCGATCTGAGGACCTCCCCTATAAAACTCTGGGACTTTACCCTTTGAAATGTCTGATTGTCCTAAAGTACTTTTACTCAATATTTTTCAAAGGACTGTAGATATTATTGAGTCTCAAAGTACATTAAAAATCCATTTATCGGGGCTGGGGATTTAGCTAAGCGGCATAAGCACCTGCCTTGGAAGCAGGCGGTTGTGAGTTCGATCCCCAGTACCAATAAAAACAACAACAACAACAAAAAATCCATTTATCAAATATGTTTTTATTATAGTTACACCATATGTACTGTATCTTTAAATTATTTTGGCTTCTAAATGCTTTAAAATGACAGACTATCATACTAGCGAAATACAGGCATTATTAAATTATTTAGCACCGTGACAGGAAATACCAATTAATCTTGGTAGTCCTTTGTCTACCCCTAGTTTGTTTTCACACTAAAACTTCTTCTCCTGTAGTTTTTGTTCTTTAATCCAGTATTAAAAGATAGCTATAATAATAAACACTGTTCCAACTAAGAATAGCAATTTTAAAACAATATAAAGCGTCACAACACATAATGCAGTACAGAAATTGCCTTTCTATATATCTGATCAAAAACTGAAGAATTTTTAACATTCAAAAAAGAAAACTGTTTGGTAATATAAAAAGATAAAGCTAACCCCATCAAATGTTTTTACAGGACAGTGGACTCTATCACTAACAATTTATTTTGTGAAAAATGATAGGAAAACATGAAAGAACTGCCAGGTATCATGGAATATCTTCAGGAAAACTTAGACCTTATAAACATAAGCCTAAAAAGGGTTTTCCTTTTTGAAGCCTGTTGCCAAAGCAACCAGTAAAGCTACAGTCTTTGAAAATTTGAAAAAAGGTAAAGGATAGGAGATAATTAAAGTGTTATATGAGTTAAGAAAAATGAATACAACATTGCAAGGCTAACACAAATGACTGAATAGACACATAAAATAACAACTTCAGAGTAACAATACAATTGCCTAGTAAGAAATATACAATTCTATTGGTCCCTAAAGGATTCTCTCCTAACCTCAAATCTCAAGCACCAAAGAAATACTACCACTCTCTCATTCTCTGCCATTTATGAAATTTAAACCACTGGGTAAATTCAAAAGCATATCAGAAAGAAAACAAAGAAAGCAAGCTAGTAACTTCCTCACTCCAGCCCCCAAATTCTGTGACTCAAAGAAACATACTCATACACCAACACTGCACCACCAACAACATTCAGTCTTGTGGCCATACAGAACTGGAAGCACCACTATGAACTAAATGTGCCCTGAATGCTAGGTCTGGATATCCATCCCCTGTTACCAAGTTTGTAACAAATATGATAAAGTAAAAGTATTAAAATACACTGTGGAGTAAAGAATAAGAAACAAAATGAAAATCAGTAACATACACAAGTCAAATATAAAAATGTCCAAGTTCAAATCATGGTGATAAAGTAGAGGTAATATAGATCAGCAAAAGAGTTGGGTAATCACAAACGCCTACTGCAGACCACCGAGCAGTAAGAGATTCCCCTGGAAAACACAAAAGAATGTTCTACGAAAGATAATATACATCTCTGAATCAGTATCAGTAAAAAAAGCTTCACATTGGAATTCATGCTGCTCTCATATATCAGACATTTAGGATAATTTTAACTGATACAAAAGAAATGTGACAGCCTAGAGAACCAAAAGTACCAAATGAGAATGATGCTTTTGTAAACAGTTGTTTGTCATGCTCACTCCACTTTCATTACAAATAACAAACCCCTTCTCCTGAACTTCCCTTTTTCTCTCTTCTAGTGCTATATCATACTTTGTATGCGTATTTTATACTCCAGGTAGATTATAATCTCAATTATAATATATATGATTTGCTTTTGCAAAACTCAGGACGTCCACTCATTCATTCTACATTTATTTAGTAAGTGTGCAAAGTATCAGGCACCATACTATAAATTAGCACTAAATATTCATTGTTTAAATGAATGTTAGCTATAAGGCAGAAAATCAAGTTCAAGGCAGAATCCAAATAAAATCATCTATTACAACGCCACAGAAGTTAAACTCGAGAAATTACAAATATTCTGAGTGGAGTTCTAGCGTCAGGAGAAACATCTGTACTACCAGTGTACTAGCAAAGAATGTGCTCCTGTAGACTCACAACAGAATTTCTTTAGTACGGTCTACCAAGTGTATTATTTCCATAGAAAAGAATTATTCTCTTAATTGTAAAAGAAAATTCAATTATTTAACCATCCATAAACTTACAGTCCTCTAAGACCAATAAGACGAATATCAGACCACAAGGGGCAAGTTGTTGAAAGTTTGATATATTCATTCTTCAAGTGCTTGGTACCTACCAGACACAGTTGGGCTCTGGGTTCTAAAAAAATCATCAGAGTCTTGTGTGGCGGTGCACACCTGTATCCCCAGAACTCTGAGATGCTGAGGCAGAAAGACGGCAAGTTCAAGACCAGCTTGTAACTAAACGGGAGTCTGTCTCAAAATGTAAAAAATTAAACAGTGCTGGGGTTGTGGCACAGTGCAAAAGCCCTGCTTTTAAATGGAAGAGGTTGGGGAATTATCAGTTTAGTCAAGAAGCCCTCCAACAAATCAAACTAAAGTTTAGCACTAGGTGGGGGAAAAAGAGGCAAAGGGAAGGGTGTCTGTTTCACGAAAAATATTCCAGCTTAAATTCAAATATAAACAAGTAAAAACGTGTCATAATACTTTTTATTCAGGTTGTTTATGGTCATTTCCTGTATAATCCTTATCGGTGCTGTTTGTTTCACTAAAAAAAAAATCTAAAAGGTCCACCACTCCAAATCTCATGCGACTATTTTCAGGTGCAAAAAATGGGCAGAGAGGATAAATCGAAATTTGTCGTTTTTAAGGAAGAGATCTGGATAGTAAGGCAGGAAAGAATAGAACGAAAATCAAAAGACAGATATGTGCCTTCTACCAGCTCACTGCAAATTCTTGTATTTGAGGCTGCAACCGTTCACAGGTGGTGCAAAATGCTCAGAGTTGGACAAAATGCAACTCGTGATAGGTGACTCTAGGCTCCTGAGCCCAACATATAGAAGTTCATGACACAAGACCCTTTCTCAGTGAGCGCCACTACAGGTAATTAATCCGTTAGTGCTTTATGAATGAACGAATACCTGGCTTCTACCTGGCTTCCTCTACCAAAACCCAAGAGCAGTGTTTTCAGGGCCTAAAGACCCTAAAGAAAGCTGTCGGGCAGGGCTCCTCCCGCTAAACCCAAATCCAGAGGGAAAAGTGGGGGGCGGTAATTGCTGAGGCTGAAAGAAGGCAAACTGCTGAAGCTCCGGGGAGGGGCTGCAGGGAGGCATGGAGAAAAGGGAAGGGTCAGCAGAATCGAACCCGGCTAATCCCTCTGCCTTCCAAAGCGAAGGTCGAGCCGCTGCCCACTGTCCCCGACCCTGCTCCTGCCTCCCTCACCTGATCACAGAGATGAGCAGCCCCGAGGGGTCTTTGCTTTTGTTGACTGTGCTTCTGTATTTCCCACCAGCTGCTTCTGCCGCCATCTTGGCACGGAGGAGCGAGCCGGCGGGTTTGACAGAACCAGGGCGAACGTCAACTCCGTTTTTGACCACGCCTGAGTTTGCACCAATGAGAAAAGACAATTCAGAGGCACGGAAGTAGAACGTCCAGTCACTGGAGTGAGAAGGCGGGACAAAGGGAAAAAGTCTTGATGCCGCGGCGTACGGGTTCGCTCTAAGCGCTATGGGAATCGTAGTTCCGCCTTCGGGGCGCCCAGGGGGACACAAAACTGAACCAGTGAGGAGGACTTGAACAAGTCTCTGATGAGGTTGTTCGTTTAACCTTGGGCATTTTTCAGTTTGCTTGCTTTTAGAATTTTTTTTCCCGATACTGGGAATTTAATGCAATTTTTAATTAAATTTACCTGATGATGATAAAATATATATGTGAGGAAATGTATTCAAATGGAACAGGTTCTTATGTTTGGGGCCTGCCTGCAAAGTTTTCTCACCTTAAATATAAATGATTTTTAACTGGATGTGGTGGCACATGCCTTTAATACATTCTGGAAAACTGAGGCTGAAAGGTCGCAAATTCAAGCCCACCCCGGGCAACTTGGTGGCTTAGTGAGACTGTCTCAAAAGTTAGTAACTGGTGGAAAGTACCAGAGGAAAAGGTGATTTTTTTTTTCTTTAAAGAGAAAAAAAACAAAACAGAAAAAGGGTAGTATATTACAGAATTAAAAAAAAAAAAAAACCACTAAGAAATCGCTAGTTGATAAATTACGTACTCTCATCTTAGTTATTCAAGTTACAAAATTAAAGCATACAAAGTGGATATTCAAACAGTAAGACTGCAAACAGTGCTACTTTAAAAAATCCAAAAAAATGTGAAAATTAATTTAAATAAATACTTTTCTTTCATTGGTGTTTTCTGAAAGTAAATGTTTCTACATTTGTTGTCTGTGTGAATTGAATTCTTCCCAATGTACTTGTATTTCCAAATAATCTGACAAAACGTAATTACAGAAACACGCAAATGAATATTGATAAAAATGCGCAATCAAAAAAAAAAAAAAATGTCCGGATTGCAGATTCCCCTTCTTTCCAAGTTAAATAAAATGCAGGTAGTAATAATGCAAGTGTGCTTTACTAGCAGTTTTGCGATGTTTGTATTTCCTGCATTCACACTATTGGTCATTAAGTTAGTTCATGGAAAATGAGTAGATGGAGGAACAGGTATATTGAGAAAGAAAAGGGAGGTGATTTTGTCAGTAGCTGTAAAGACTGAAGAACTTCAAAGATGAAAATAAAGCAGACATTTTGGAATTGGGAAAGAGCAAGCTTTCAATAAGTGGATATCAAGCTGGTAAATAGTTCACACTGACTTTTTTAAGATTAGTGAGAAGTTAAGTATATGGTAACGTGAAGGCCCTTGGCACAGCCACTCCAGCCGACAGAACTTCTTCGTTCCTAAAGAAATAGAGATACAGTTAAAATATTGAAATTTTTTAAACAAAAGAGGATTGAATAAATTATCCAAAGTTCATGTGAGAAAATGACATAGTCACTGAAAATCACATTTTAATGATTATTGACAAAAAAAACCTTTTCACAGGGTAAGTACAAAAAGCAGACTTTAAATAATTAGAAAAGTAGATGGGTTTAGTGTCTAGGAATGCAGGTATTTGAGGGGAAAGTATGTTACCATCTCAACGGATGCAGAAAATAATCTTTTATCCAGGTCAACCAGGCTTTCATAATCAAAACACTCAGAAACCTACAACTAGAACGTAATAAAGGGAATTTTTTTTTTAATTTAAGAGGAAAAAGAGAAAAACACAAAACAAACCAAAGCGGTGTAAGGGTACATGTAATACAGAACTACAAAAAAAAAAAAAAAAAAAAAAAAACATAACAGTAAGAAATCACCTGTTAGTAGATTACATATTATCATCTTGAAAATAGTTCCTCAAATCACAGTATCAAAGAATACAAGGTGGACATTCAAACAGGGAGAGTGCAAACAGCTGTGTTCAGTGATCCAAAAACATTGATATAGTCAGCTATTTAACACCCCTAAACACACTTGCTGTTATATCCGTTAGAGCTCTTTTTCTTTTTTTTTTCCCTCTCTTTTTTACAACAAAATTTACACATTTTGGATTTTATTGCTCCTTAGTGCTTATTACTTTTTTTTTGGGGGGGGGGGGGAAGAATACAGTCAAATTTGGCAAAACAAAGCTGTCAGTCAATACCAAGGATAGACATAGCACATGGTGTAGAACAGAGTACAAGTTTATGAACAATGGTTATCAACGTTGTCCCTTGTTTCCTTAAAAAGAATTGTCTATCTCATTAGATATTATAAAGTTGGACAAAACAGTAGAGAACAAGACCAATGAAACTTAGGCATTGTAAACATTACAGGACTTCCAAAGAAGACAATAGTCAAACCAGAATGGGTATCTTAGTGAATCTTATTGTCTTCAAAGTAGTTGCCTATGTCTTCAAACTTGATACTATCATATAGAATGGAACAGAGTCTAATCAGTCAAAACAAGATCGTGGGAGTACTACAGGACTTCAAAACAAGTTAATAGGAAATCAAAAAGAGTTACTATTTATATATCCTAATTTTTTGAATTTTTTCTTTAATTAAGACAAACATAAGAAATGACTAAATAATTTTTTTTAAAACAATAAGGGGGAGATTGAGATAAAACAGGACATAACAATATAACAATAGAGGTCACAGCATGACTGTTTCAACAACCTAGTACTTCACCACCATATAACCCGACTTAATAGTAGTTACCATAGTGTCTTTTTCCTTGAAATATTTGGATAAAACTTCATATACTCTAGCTTCAAATATTTTCAAATCAAGAAGCCCAGAATAAAGCCTTTCTAATTAATGAGTGAAAACTTTATAAGGCTTCAAGGCCACCTAATGGGGAATCATGATTACCACATATTTTTATATATTTGAATCATTACTTACATTAGGGAAACTATTCGGTATTCACACATGCGAGATTGATTTATTTCACTTATGAGTATGGTCTCAAGCTGCGCCCATTTATTGATAAATATCTCAATGTGATCCTTCTTTATAGCTGAATAATACTCCATTGTATAGAAATACCACAACTTTTTTATCCATTCCTCAGTTGATGGACACTTGGGTTGTTTCCAAGATCTGGCGATTACAAATTGTGCTGCTATAAACATAGGTGCACATATATCACTGTGGTATGATGCTTTCAGTTCTTCTGGGAATATGCCTAGAAGTGGAATAGCTGGAATAAATGGGATTTCCAGTCCCAACTTTTTGAGAAATCTCCAGACAGATCTCCACAAAGGCTGTACCAGTCTACACTCCCACCAGCAGTGCAGGAGAGTTCCTTTTTCCCCACAGCCTCTCCAGCATTTGTTGTTGGTTTTCTTGATCCTGGCCATTCTTTCAGGAGTGAGATGGTATCTCAGTGTGGTTTTAATTTGCATTTCTCTAATGACCAATGATGATGAGCATTTTTTCATGTATTTATTTGCCATTTGCATTTCTTCATCTGAGAATTGCGTATTCATCTCAGATGCCCATTTTTGGATTGGATCTTTGAATTTTGGAGGTCTGAGTTTCTTTAATTCTTTATATGTTTTAGACAAGAGTCCCTTGTCTGAGAGAGAGTTCACTAAAATCTTTTCCCAGTTTGTGGGTTTTCTTTTCACTATGCTGGAGATTTCTTTTGACATGCAGAAACTTTTGAATAAGAAGTGGTCCCAGTTATTGATTCTGGGAAGTATTTCCCGTGCGGTTTGAGTCCTGTTCATGAATTTTTACCTACTCCTATGTCTCCAAGGTTTCTACCTAATTTGTCTTCCAATAGATTTAGTGTTTCTGTTTTAATATTCAGATCTTTGACCCATTTAGATTTTAATTTAGTACATGGTGATAGACATGGGTCTAGCTTTAGTTTTCGGCAAATGGAGAGCCAGTTTTTCCAGCACCATTTATTAAAGAGACTGTCGTTCTTCCAGTGAACCTGCTTGGCTCCTTTATCAAAGATAAGGTGGTTGAGTGTGTTCGTAGTTGTGGTTGTATCTTCTAATCTATTTCACTGATCTTCGGCTCTGTTTTGATTCCAATCCCATGTTGATTTTACTACTGTTGCTTTGTAGTGTAAGTTCAAGTCAGGGATTGTGATGCCTCCTGCTTTGTCTTTGCTGCTTAGAATTGCCTTTGCGATTCTAGGTCTCTTCTGCTTCCAGATGAAATTTAGGAGTGATTTCTCTAGATCTATAAGGTATGTTGATGGTATTTCTATTGGGATTGCATTGAATCTGTATAACAGTTTTGGGAGAATGGCCATTTTCACATTGTTTGTTCTTCCTATCCATGAGCAAGGGATGTCTTTCCATTTTCTGAGATCATCTTCAATTTCCTTTTTCAGTGTATTATAATTTTCACTGTATAAGTCTTTCACTTCTTTCATAAGAGTAATTCCTAAATATTTCATTTTTTTGCTTGCTAATGTGAATAGTCCAGTTTCTCTTATTTCCCTCTCTGTAATTTTGTTGTTCGTATATAGGAATGCTATTGATTTCTGAGTATTGATTTTGTATCCAGCCACATTACTGAATTTATTTATTGTATCTAAGAGTATTTCAATGGAGTTTAGGGGGTCTTCTATGTAGAGTATCATGTCATCTGCAAACAATGATAATTTAACTTCTTCTTTTCCTATCTTTACCCCTTTTATTTCTCTTTCTTGCCTAATTGCTCTGGCTAGTACTTCCCGTACTATATTAAATAGGAGTGGTGATAAAGGATATCCTTGTCTTGTGCCCGATTTTAAAGTAAATTTTTGGCCATTTAGTATGATGCTGGCTGTTGGTTTGTCATAAATGGCCTTTATTATATTGAGGTAAAGACCATTTATTCCAATTTTCTGTAAAGTTCTTATCATGAATAAGTGTTGGACCTTATCGAAGGCTTTTTCTGCATCTATAGAAATGATCATGTGATTCTTATTTTTGGCTTTATTGATATGGTGGATTACATTTATTGATTTGCGTATGTTGAACCATCCTTGCATTCCTGGGATGAA